TATCCCATCCAGCCCTGCCCTCTGGCAGTGGGAGCCATTCCCTGTGTCCTGTCCCTCCATCCCTTGTCCCCAGTCCCTCTCCAGCTCCCCTGGAGCCCCTTTAGGCCCTGCCAGGGCTCTGAGCTCTCCCCAGAGCCTTCTCTTCCCCAGCTCTCCCAGTTTGTCACCCCAGCAGAGGAGCTGCAGCCTTTGGCGCATCCCCGTGGCCTCCTCTGGACTCGCTGCAGGCAGTGCCATGCATGGGGAAAGGAGGGAATGCCTGGTGCAGTCAGGGACACCCCAGTGCAGTCAGTGAAACACACACTGCAGCCAGTAAAATGCATCTCTGCTCAGCGAGATGGGCTCTGCATTTTCTGAGACAGCAAGAGATAAACCCAGAGTGCAATTACTGATATGCTCAGAGCCATAAACGATGTGCCCAGAGCAATTAAGGGACTTCTGGCACCATTAGTGACATGCGAGGTGCACTCAGTGATACTCACAGTGCAATTAGTGACAGGCAGGCTGTGATTAGTGACATGTATGGTGCAATTAGTGACGTGTATGGTGCAATTAGTGACGTGTATGGTGCAATTAGTGACACGTGTGGTGCAATCATTGACATGCATCGTGCAACTGGTGACATGTATGGTGTGATTATGGACATGCATGGTGCAATTGGTGACATGCACAGTGCCATTAGTGACATGGTGTGATTGGTAAGCTGCACAGTGAGATAAAGAGCAGAGCAATGAGTGAAGTGCCTGGGCCTGCTGGTGACACAGCCCACGCCAGCAGTGACAAATCTCACGTGCATGGAACCCCCATGCAGAACACAAAGGCTCCTGGTGACCCCCACGTGCCTTTCCACACCAGAAGCCACATCCCTGTGTTCTTCACAGTTTTTGCCAAGAGCCCTTCTGGCAAAGTCCCAGAGCAAGCCAGCACTGAGGCCTGGAGAGACTCAGTTGTCCAATTTGGTTGGAATTGTCCCCAAAAAGTGACTGGCCTGGGCTTTGCTGGCCGTACCTTCGTGGGAGCAGTTGTTGTTGAGGGCAGGGGAGAAAGCATGCAGCTCCCGCAGCACGATGGGCTCCGTGCCCCCACCACCACCTTTGCCTTCAGCATCAGCCTTGCTTTCTTCCTCCTCCTCCTCATCCTCCTCCTCCTCCTCTTCCTCTTCACCCTCGGGGTCAGCCTCGGGGTCGGGTGAACTCTGCATGAGCTCCTCCAGCTCCTCGATGACCTGCGGGGCATCAGGGACCTCCATGTGCACCTGCAACTGTCCTGCACCCTGCACCCCACACCTGCAACTGTCCTGCACCCTGCACCCCACACATGCATCCTTCCTGCACCCTGCATCCCACACCTGCATCCTTCCTGCACCCTGCATCCCACACCTGCATCCTTCCTGCACCTTGCACCCCTCACATCCTGCACCCACACCTGCAACTGCTCCCTTCATCCTGCACCTGCATCCTCTATCTCCATCCTCCATCTGCATCCTGCTCCCTCCATCCTCCATCCTTATCAGCATTCTGCATCCTCCCCTCCATGCTGCATTTGCATTCTGCTCCCTTCCTCCTGCATCAGCACCTGCATTTACATCCATCTGCACCCTGGCTCCTGCATCTGCATCCCACACTCCCACCCACATCCAAATCCCACATTCCATGGACACTGGGGACCTGCACCCACATCTAAATCTGCATCCTGCACCTGGCTGCATCTGCTCTCTGCACCCACCTCCTCCTCCTGCATCCTGTACTTGCACCTGCACCTGCATTCTCTATCCAGCATCCACACCCTGCTACTGCCTCCACATCCCCCTCACCACATCTGGACCCTGCATCCTGCACCCCACATCTGCACCTTGCATGTGGAACCTGCATCCTGCACCCCACATCTGCACCCTGCACCCCACACCAGCACCAGCACCTGCATCCATCCCACCTCTGCCCCCCACACTTCCATCCTTCCCCCCACGCCCCCATTTTGTGCAGCAGCACCCACAGCCCACCTTCCACATGCACCCAAATCCCTCATCACCCCCACAGCCCACACTTCTGCCTACATCCACATTCCAAGTCCACACCCCAAAATGGGATTTGCCTTCTCCTTGTACTTTCAGCTCATGGCCATGGGCTGAGGTGGCCAAGCCTGGCTTTTGGTGCCCCTGGGTACCTGCTCAGCTGTCAGCAGCGGCTCCTCATTGATCCCAGAGTCCTGCTCACTCCTCTCAGTCAGCTCCTCTTCCTCTTCCTCCTCCTCCTCCTTCCCACCGAGCTGCAGGAGACACAGGCTGGGCAGCCTTGGGGGCACCACAGGCCCAGC